CTTGCCAGCGCGCGCCAACGCATGCCAGTGCATGCCAATGCGTGCCAACGTATGCCAACGCATACCGTTGCATGCCCATGGACGCCACTGCGCGCCAATGCGTGCCGATGCATGCCAGCGCATGCCAACGCATGCCAACGTAAGCCAACGCATGCCAACGCATGCCAACGAATGCCGAGGCATGCCGACGCATGCCAACGCAGGCCAACGCATGCCAGCGCATGCCAACGCGTGTCAACGCATACCAACGCGTGCCAGTGCATGCCAACGCATGCCAACGTTTGCCAACGCATGCCAACGCATGCGAACGCATGCTAACGCATGCCAACACATGCCGATGCATGCCGACGCATGCCGATGCGTGACAATGCATGCCAACGCAAGCCAACGCTTGCCAACGTATGCCAACGCATGCCAACGCATGCCAATGCCAATGCATGCCAGAGGATGCCAACGCATGCCGACGCATGCCAACGCGTGCCGCTGCACGCCAATGCATGCCAACGTATGCCACTGCATGCCAACGCATGCCAACGCATGCCAACGCATGCCAGCGCATGCCAATGCACGCCGACGCATGCCAGTGCATGCTAGCGCATGCCAGTGCATGCCACTGCAAGCCAACGCATGCGAATTCATGCCAATGCATGCCAAGGCATGCCAATGCATGCCATCGCATGCCACTGCAGCCAGTGCATGCCAACGCATGCCAGCGCGTGCCAGTTCATTCCAACTCATGCCAATGCATGCCAAAGCATACCAACGCAAGCCAGCGCTTGCCAACGCATGCCGACGCATGCCGACGCATGCCAACACATGCCAACGCATGCCAGAGCATGCCAAAGCGTGTCAACGCATACCAACGCATGCCAGTGCATGCCAATTCATGCCAATGCATGCCGACGCATGCCAATGCATGCCAACGCATGCCAGTGAATGCCAATGCATGCGAAGGCATGCAAATGCATGCCAACGCATGCCAACGCATGCCACTGCATGCCATTGCAGCCAGTGCGTGCCAACGCATGGCAGCGCATGCCAGTGCATGCCAACGCATGCCGACGCATGCCAGCGCATACCAAGGCATGCCACTGCATGCCAACGCATGCCGATGCATGCCAACGCATGCCAACGCATGCCAACGCATGCCAACGCGTGCCGTCGCATGCCAATGCGTACCAACGTATGCCAACGCATGCCAACGCATGCCAACGCATGCCAACGCGGTCAACGCATGCCAATGCATGCCAATGCGTGCCAGGGTTAGCACGTGCGGGACAAGAGTTGACCACCCAGGCTAGGGGTAGCACGCGGGGAGGCCTGCCCTGTCAGGGGTAGCATTTGGAGCGGGAAGATTGGCTTGGCCGGGGGGGTAGCCCAGCAACCTGGCCGCAGCAGGGCAATTGCGAGGCGTGGGCGAAAACCTCGGCATGCGGCCGAGCTCCACAGGCAGGCGGAAAGACCCGCTGCGACCAGCGCCTCCCCCACGAGTGGGGAGCGCTGGACGGGCAGGGCTCCCCGCGCGCCCCAGGGGCCAGCGAGCCCGCCCGACTGGGGCGGTCCCAGCGCCGAGGGGCGGCCCTGAAGGGTCAGGGTCAGTTCCGGGTCCGGCTAACGCCGCCCCGCTGTCGCAGCAGCACTCCCGCGGCGGAGCCGTCTTTCCTGGGCTTGTTTCGCAGCTTGCAGCCGCCCCGCGGGCAGCCGGGCGCGGTCTGCCCCTCGTCGCGCTGCAGCTCCGCGTCGACGAGAGGTGGCCCCTCTCCCTACTCAGCATGCGCAGTCGGTCTGCCCGTGCTTGCCCCCGCCAGGAAGGCCTCTGACCTGCCCGCTGGAGGGCGCGGAGCGGCCGCAGCCCGGCCGACCCTGCTTCCTCTTCGCGCAGCAGCTCTTCACCGCGTTGTCGCTGCCCGATTACTTTTTCTATTACCTGGGGGCCTGGGGGCCGCTTGTCTCCGCGGCGTTCGCATTGCGCGACTTCCTCGCGTTGCCCGTGCCGGTCTCTCGGTGTCGTTCGTACTGCTCCTGCGGTGCTGCCTGCTCGCTTCTTCCATGTCTGCGTGGCCGCGAGGGTTCATAGACTTCGAGTCTGACGAGCTTGCCTGGGGGGCCAATTCAACGACAGAATTCTCTCTCCTGTTCGGCTGCCGCATGGTTGCTGGGAGTTTGTCAGCTGGCTTCTTCAAGGGCTCGTCCTTCGGCGAGTGCGTAGTCGCTCTGACCCTTTTTGCACGTCGTCTTGGACGTGTGTGTCCTGGGGTGGTCCACTGCCGACTTCCCATGCGCGTGGTCACTCTCTCCCACCACTTGCGTCTGAATTGGCACCTCGGTGGGCGTGGCTTCGGCGCTGGTCTGCGATGCCTCCCGCGCCATTTTGGCTGCGCTGAGCCTTGCTTCTCAGCCGGGCGCCGCTCCCCTCACCGTTTTTCCTTTGCTTCGGCGCGGCCCTCCTAGCTCTGCCCGGCTTTCGACTCGTTTCGGGAGCCCGCGTTCTAAAACACATATCCCCGCCAGCCTATCCAGAAACGGTCGGATGTTGTTCCAAGGCCTTTTGAAGGTTATCTTGAGCAATGATCGGCTGGATGCTGTCGGAGGTTCTTTGGAGCCATGGAGGAAGAGGGCGAAGAAGGGGAGGATGGGGAGGCGAGGTGGAGGAGGTAAAATAAAGGAGCGGAGGGGGAGGAGGGGCAAAATGATGATGATGAGGAGGAGAAGGAGGAGGAGGTGGAGGAGTCGGAAAAGGAGGAGGAGGAGGGGGATGAGGAGGAGGAGGAGGAGGAGGAGGAGGAGGAGGAGGAAGACGAAAAGGAGGAGGAAAAGCGCGGCACGAGCTTCGAGTTTTCGAGGGGGAGGTCCTGAATTTCGCGCCCCTGTTTGTTCGACAGTGGGGCTCAAGGCTCCATAAGCAGCAAAAAAAGTGTCGCCTGTTTGCAGGATCGCTGCGGGGTCTTTGCAGGGTCGTTGCAGCGGGATGGGCCATGCAAAAACCCGACAGGTGTCTTGCAAAGTGGGATTATTGGAGAGGCCTCTTGGAACGATCTTGAGCTCTTCTTGCTCAAAATGGGGGGGGTCCTCAACAAGGGGGGGAGACACCCCCCCTCGGATGCTCAAAAAGGGCGCCCTGGGGGCCCTGTTGTGGCGCCCTTGGGGCGGTCTTTGGTCTTGGGCGTTGTTTAAAAGGAGCTTTACCTCTTGGGGGGTGCCTTGGCAAGGCCGAGCGGGCAGTCGGAGCCGCCTTGGGGCTCACTTTGGGTGCCTCGAAAGCATGTTGGAGGTTATTTTGAACTACGTTGAAGCATCTTGGGTCATTTTGGAAACCATTTTGGGCTTTCTGAGGCCTCTTGGAACCATCTTGGCCCGAGAACCACCTTCTGACACTTCGCGAGGCGCGCCGTCCAAAGCAAGGGTAAGGGTAGGGGCAGAAGGGGTGATGGAAGAAAGAAGACAAATCTCGTTGAACCACCTGCGTCCAGAGGGTTGGTGGGATTTTTGAAACGAGTTTGCCCGACGCCCAGGCGAGAACTTCATTTTGAAACGGGCCGCCCTCCATCCGTGAAATTCTTGCAAACTTTGAGACTACTGTGCTCGGTGATGATGGGAGAGCCACATTTTGAAAACGGGCTGTCCTACATCAGTGACGCTGTTGGAATCGACGCGAATCGTCGCGGAGTTTAGGCGAGAACCACACTTTGAAATCGTGCCAACCTCCATTCGTGAAGGTTTCGCCAGCTTTGAAGACGAACGTGCGCGGCTGCATGGCGAGAGCCACATTTTGAATCTGATCCGCCCTCAAATCTGGCAAATGTTAAAGACGAATGTGCGCGGCGCGAAGGCGAGAGCCACACTTTGAAAACGGGCGGACCTCCATCCGTGATGCCCTTGTAGTCTAGAAGCTCCAGTCTCAGAAATGATGAGGAGGTCCCATGCGAAACGCCTGGCCCGCTTTCGAACGGCCTCGGGGTGCGACAGGCAGGATTTATTTATTCGTAGTAGTAGTCGAAGTGGTGGCGGCGGTGGTGGTGGTGGTAGTAGTAGTAGTAGTAGTAGTAGTCGTAGTAGTAGTAGTAGTAGTAGTAGTAGTAGTAGTAGTAGTAGTAGTAGTAGTAGTAGTAGTAGTAGTAGTAGTAGTAGTAGTAGTGGTAGTAGTAGTAGTAGTAGTAGTAGTAGTAGTAGTAGTAGTAGTAGTAGTAGTAGTAGTAGTAGTAGTAGTAGTAGTAGTAGTAGTAGTAGTAGTAGTAGTAGTAGTAGTAGTAGTAGTAGTAGTAGTAGTAGTAGTAGTAGTAGTAGTAGTAGTAGTAGTAGTAGTAGTAGTAGTAGTCGTAGTAGTAGTAGTAGTAGTAGTAGTAGTAGTAGTAGTAGTAGTAGTAGTAGTAGTAGTAGTAGTAGTAGTAGTAGTAGTAGTAGTAGTAGTAGTAGTAGTAGTAGTAGTAGTAGTAGTAGTAGTAGTAGTAGTAGTAGTAGTAGTAGTAGTAGTAGTAGTAGTAGTAGTAGGTAGTAGTAGTCGTAGTAGTAGTCGTAGTAGTCGTAGTGTAGTAGTAGTAGTAGTAGTAGTAGTAGTAGTAGTAGTAGTAGTAGTAGTAGTAGTAGTAGTAGTAGTAGTAGTAGTTATAGTCGTCGTAATAGTAGTCGTTATAGTTGTAGTAGTAGTAGTAGTACTAGTAGTAGTAGTAGTAGTAGTAGTAGTAGTAGTAGTAGTAGTAGTAGTAGTAGTAGTAGTCGTAGTAGTCGTAGTAGTCGTAGTAGTCGTAGTAGTAGGCGTAGTCGTAGTCGTAGTCGTACTCGTTGTCGTAGTCGTAATCGTAGTCGTAGTAGTAATGGTAGTCGTTGTCGTCGTACTCGTTGTCGTAGTCGTAGTAGTATTTTGGAATTGCCGTCGGGTTGGTAGTAGTAGTGGTGGTGTTGGTGGACGGGGAGCACGATCAGGAGGAGGAGGGGGAGGAACAGGAAGATGATGAGGGGGATGATGAGTTGGAGGGAGGAGACGCTACCCTCCATAGTGCGAGGAGCAGCTCAACCGAAAGAGTGGACTGGCCGCAGCCGGCAACGAACCAGGCTCGGCGTTCCTCCCGAATGGGGATAAGAGTGATATGAGGGCAGGGAGGGAGGCGGCAGGAGGAGGAGGAGGAGGAGGAGGGGGAGGAGGAGGAGGAGGAGGAAGAGGAGGAGGAGGAGGTGTGGGGATAGCATTAGTATGGGGACTATTGTTTGAGTATGTTTGGGTATTTGTCGAATATTTTGAGTTTTTGTTCGTTATTTTTTGTCCACAATCCCGCTGTAGGGGGACAGGCCCGACCTAAGGGTAGCAGGATGAGGAGGAGCAGCAGGGAGTTAGACTAGGCACATCTCAGCGCAGAGGGCCAGGACGGGAAAGAGGGGAGGAGACCACCAGGGCATTTGCGCCTGCGCAGCGGGAGCAGAAGACCCAGTGGCTATGCCTCCGCCCCCCCCCCGTCGAAGCCTGAGAGACGCGGCCTTCCAGAGCGTCAGTAAACTCTGCAGGTGGCACCAGCTCGTGGAGAGGGCTGTCCCACGAAGGTGGTCAGGATGGATCCCAAGACGGATGCGTCTGATATTACCCTCAAGGTTAAGTCGCGCCTGTCCCCCTACAGGAGGAACATTCAAAACTAGTCGAAAAATAGTCTGGGGACTATTTTTTGAGTACTTTTGGAACATGTTTGATTTTTCGCCTCAAATCCCCCTTGCAGGGGGGCAGGCCCGACCTAACCTTAAGGTGAGCAGACGTTGGCCCACCACTGCAACCACTGGGCGGGGGGGCTTCCTAGCCCTCACCCATGCACGGACAGAGCCCCGCCCCTCTCAGCAGGGAGTCGGAAGAAGGAGTCGGCGAAGATGGCGGAGAGGGAGGAGCAGCTGGACCTTACATTGAAGTCGGGCCTGTCCCTCTACAGGAGGAATAGTATGGGGACGATTTGGTTTGAGTATTTTCGGGCATTTCGGGAGTATTTGCCTGCAATATTTGATTTTTAGCTCAAAATCCCCCTGTAGGGGGACAGGCCCAACCTAACGCTACCATCATCAGCATCATGATTATCACCTGCTCTTGGCAGCGCTGCTGCACACACTACAGGAAAGTCGGTTTCACCGTAAGCGTGCTTATCGATTCGTGGCTGTGTGCTACTCTTCCGGGTGGCGGCTCTCACGCAGGGCCAATTGGGGCTCGGGTTCGCGCTTGTCCAGCGGATTCGCAGAGCGAGCAGGCATCCCTAAAGCCAGCCGTGAACATGTCGCAGAGGAGCGCGATGGGGGTGGAGGAGAAGAAGGAGGAGGAGGAGGAGGCGGAGGAGGAGGAGGAGGAGGAGGAGGAGACGAAGGAGGAGGAGGAGGAGGAGGAGGAGGAGGAGGAGGAGGGAAGGGAGGGGAAAAGCGGGCTGCAGCACTACATCCTCGGCTCACAATTCCGACGACCTCACTCCGGTGGCTGAAAAGGCATTAAACCACACTCGATTAGTCCATGGCGATGATGCACCAAACCAGCACCCATAACTCGAGTGGTGACTGCATTTGCTCTCCTCGCACCTCAACATGTCGTCCAAGTGATAAGGGCGCCGTCCAAGCTCGAGCCCGATATAGCATCCATCAAGCGGAAGGGTACCGCAGGCTCCGCGACGTGATCAACCGACTCCATACTGGCATCGTCATTGTCCGAAGGTTGGACGACAGCCTCCGAGTCGAAGGATCTCTGCTGGGCCAGAGCCTAAAACACCCACCCGACCAAGTCAGCATAGGCTTAGCTGAGCGAAGCCACAACCGCCGTATTCCTGTCCTCGCCGGCAGGTCGATGGTCGCTGGATCGATGGAGCCCTGCAGTGGTATTTCCTCGAGAGTTCATGGGAGAAGTCAGCACCTGCTGTCGAAGCTGGGCCCACTGCCTCCTTCGCAGGTACTGGCGTTCGCGTGGTAGTCCAATTGACCTTGATCGATGAGTAGCCGACGACGTGCAACCAGACGTATGCGTCTGTGGGCCCGCCTGCGCGACATGGACGGTGCCAAGTGTCGCACGCGGTGGGTCACACGTGGTGTCGTTTCATCAGCTTCGTCAGGGTGCCAGATCCCAAGCAGGGTCGTAGACGTTGCCATCCTTCCGGGGAGAGGCGCCAGCTCGTCGACTGGAACATTCGAGAGCCCTGCCGCGCAGTTCCGCCCTCGGGCCTCACGGCGGCCGGTGAAAGAGGAGATGGAGGAGGAGCCGGACGAGGAGGGGGAGCACGAGGAGGATGCGGACGCGGGGCAGGAGGGGGCGGAAGAGGAGCCGGAGAAGGCGCAGGGAATATTTCTCCCCCTTTCTCCCCTTTAACTTCTCCCCCTCCCTACTTCTCTTCCCTCCCCGCCTTCCTCCCATCCTCCTAGAGTCGATGATCCACGACGGCTGTATTGCCTCCTCGTGGTGCGCTCCAGTTCTATGGCTGAAATGTGCGCTGCCCGCAATGCTTATTGCTCTGGGCAGCACGTTGACCCTCTTCGCTTCACTACTGGGCCTCTTTCGTGCCCTCGGACGCGGTTCCGTTGTCCCTGAACCTCCCTCTCCTCTTCCTCCCGCCTTCCCCCCTCCTCCCTTCCTCCTCCTCCCCCTCTTCCTTCCCTGTCCCTGAGCCTCCCTCTTTTAGGAGGGAAAATAACACACAGACACAATTAATCGACGCCTCCCAGGAAAATATGGGAACATATGTGAATCGGGCGGGAAGACAAAAACCCAGAAGATATAGAAACATATGGGGAATCATTTTATTTGTGTGTATTTATTTGTGTGTCCCTGAGCCTCCCTCTCTCTTCTCCTCCCTCCCTTCCTCCGCCCTCCCCGCCTCCGCCCTCCCCGCCTCCGCCCTCCCCCCCTCCGCCCTCCCCGCCGCCCTCCTCCCCCCCCGCCTCCCTCCCCGCCTCCCTCCGCCCTGCGCTCTCCCTCCCCTGATCGGGGGCGGGCGGAAAAGAGGGGGGTCATGACTGGGGGGAGGGATATCATGGCGGGGGCCATGATATCTCCCCAGATTTCGTGGCGCCTCTTCTTATTTCATTACGTCCCTGGCCCCCCCCGCTGGGCCGCGCACATGCCGCTGGTCATGATTTGCACCCCCCCCTCTTGGACAGCCCCCTCTTGGCCGCTCCCGACCTGAGGGCCGATGCTGCGGAGAAGACGCGACGCCGCTGACAAATCAGGACGGGAGCCCTGGACGCTGGCCTCTGGACCCTCGCCTTCCGCGGCATCTCTCGAGCCGCCTCGATCCGCGGTGGCCCTGGAGCTCGTGGGGGAAAACGCCTTGCGCGAAGAACAACATCGAGACGCCCGGGGGCCCCTGGATCTCAGGGGCCGCCCTGCGCCTTCCGCTCTCCCTCCTCCAACCCCTCTTGGCATCGCTCGGACGTGTGCATTTTTCCTTCGGCGAGGACCATCGAGGAGCATCCTTGATCATTTGGCGAAAGAGCCACGCACGACACCGAACAAAAACACAGGGAATGGACGTCCGAGCGATGGCCAGCCCCTCCCTTCCCTGAGGAGGTGAGGTTGGTGGAGGCTATGGCCGACGCAACGGTTGTGTGCAAGCTGCGGCCTGCCTATAATAACGAAGAGTACGGCGAGGAGGAGGAAGCGGAGGAGTTTAGGACGAGGAGGGGCCGGAGTAGTATTGTCATTGTAATTATTCGGGAGCCTCGAGACGGGGGTCGATGCAAACGGGGGTCAGCCAGGGCGCCAGGTTTTGCAGGATCCTGCGAAGACCCCCTCTGGCTGACCCGGGTTAGCGAGCCTCTCGTGGCCGCGAGGCGGCCGCGCATAATGGCTGACCCGGGTTTGCGAAGACCTGCGTTGCAGTTTTTTTTCCTGCACTGCAGTTTTTGGTTTCCTGCTGACCCGGGCCTGGATTGACCCGGGTCAGAAGATCCCCGAAATTCTTCTCATGTTATGATTGTTACCGATATTGTTGGCATCATTATTCCCAACCGTCCTGTGGTGTTGGGTCCTCGTTTTGAAGATGCGGTCCCCGCGTTCCAGTAGCAGTAGTAGTAGTAGTAGTAGTAGTAGTAGTAGTAGTAGTCGTAGTAATACTAATAGTAGTAGTAGTAGTAGTAGTAGTAGTAGTAGTAGTAGTAGTAGTAGTAGTAGCAGTAGTAGCAGTAGTAGTAGTAGTAGTAGTAGTAGTAGTAGTAGTAGTAGTAGAGTAGTAGTAGTAGTAATAAAAATAATAGTAGAAGTAGTAGTAGTAGTAGTAGTAGTAGTAGTAGTAGTAGTAGTAGTAGTAGTAGTAGTGTAGCAGTAGTAGTAGTAGTAGTAGTAGTAGTCGAAGTAGAAGTAGAAGAAGTAGTAGTAGTCGTCGTAGTAATAGTAGTAGTAGTAGTAGTAGTAGTAGTAGTAGTAGTAGTAGTAGTAGTAGTAGTAGTAGTAGTAGTAGTAGTTTATTATTATTATTATTATTAGTAGTAGTAGTAGTAGTAGTAGTTTAGTAGTAGTAGTTTAGTAGTAGTAGTAGTAGTAGTAGTAGTAGTAGTAGTAGTAGTAGTAGTAGTAGTAGTAGTAGTAGTAGTAGTAGTAGTAGTAGTAGTAGTAGTAGTAGTAGTAGTAGTAGTAGTAGTAGTAGTAGTATTAGTAGTTGTAGTAGTAGTAGTAGTAGTAGTAGTTGTAGTAGTAGTAGTAGTAGTAGTAGTAGTAGTAGTAGTAGTAGTAGTAGTAGTAGTAGTAGTAACAGTAGTAGCAGTAGCAGTCGTAGTAGTACTAGTAGTAGTAGTAGTAGTAGTAGTAGTGGTAGTGGTAGTAGTAGTAGTAGTAGTAGTAGTAAGTAGTAGTTTCGTAGTTAGTTAGTTGTGGAGTAGTTTAGTAGTAAGTAGTAGTCGGAGTAGTAGTAGTGGTGGTAGTAGTAGTAGTAGTGTAGTAGGTCGTAGTAGTGGTGAGTAGCCTAGCAGCAGCCGCCAGCAACAGTATAGTAGTTGGATGTAGTAGTGCGTACCTAGCCAAGTATTTATTTCTGATTATTCGTAATCGTAGTAGTCCCTGTCTTGTCTTTAGTTAGTCCGTCGTCGTCGTGTGTATAGTAGTAGTAGTAGTT